TCAAAAAGGAGTTTAAAAATCAAGTAAGAGAGGTAGAGGAAAAATTGGGAAGAGAAATGAGAATGATGCAAGAAAATCATGAAAAAAGAGTCAACAGCTTGGTAAAGGAGGCACAAAAAAATACTGAAGAAAATAACGCCTTAAAAAACAGACTAGACCAAATGATAAAAGAGGCACAAAAATCCAATGAAGAGAAGAATGCCTTGGAAAGCAGAATTGGCCAAATGGGAAAAGATATACAAAAATTCACTGAAGAGAAGAACGCCTTAGAAAGTAGAATTAGCCAAATAGAAAGGGAGGTACAAAAGCTCACTGAAGAAAATAATGCCTTAAAATTTAGACTTGAGCAAGTGGAAGCTAATGACTTTATGAGACATCAAGAAACAAACAAACGAAATCAAAAGAATGAAAAAAATAAGAAGAAAATGTGAATTGTATCATTGGAAAAACAACTGACCTGGAAAATAGATCCAGGAGAGACAATTTAAGAATTTTTGAACTATCTGAAAGTCATGATTTAAAAAAATTTAAAAAAAAAAAAGAAAAGAAAAAAGTCTAGACATTATCTTTTAAGAAATTATCAAAGAAAACTGACCTGATATTCTAGCACTGAGGGTAAAATAGAAATAGAAAGAATTCACCATTCACCTCCTGAAAGACATCCCAAAATGAAAACTTCCAGGAATTTTATAGCCAAATTCCAGACTTCCCAGGTAAAGTGAAAATGCCGCAAGCAGTCAAAAAGAAACAAATCAAATATCATGGAACCACAGTCAGGATAACACAAGATTTAGCAACTTTTACATTAAAGGATCAAAAGGCTAGGAATATAATTTTTCCAGAGGGCAAAAGAGCTAGAATTACAACCAAGAATCACCTACCCAGTAAAACAGTATAATCTTTCAGGGGAAAAAAATGGACATCCAATGCAATAGAGGACTTTCAAGCATTCCTGATGAAAAGACCAGTGCTGAATGGAAAATTTGACTTTCAAATACAAGATGCAAAAGCAGCATAAAAATGTAAACAGAAAAGAAAAATCCTAAGGGATTCAATATGGTTAAACTGTTTATATTCCTACATGGGAAAATGACATTTATAACTCCTAAAAACTTTCTCATTATTAGGGCAGCTACAAGAGGTGTGAGTTGAATGTGATGGTATGATTATCTAAAAAAATAAGAGATGAGGGAAAAAAAAAACACTGGGAGAAGGGGAAAGGGAGAGGTAGAATGGGATAAATTATTTGACATAAGAGGCCTGAAAGCAGTTTTACAGTGGAGGAGAAAATGGGGGAAGTGGGGAGGGGAGCACATAAATCTTTAACTGGATTAGCTTAAAAACGGAATAACATACTTACTCAGTTGGGTGTATAAATCTATTTTACCATACAGGAAAGTAGGAAGAGAAGGGGTGTGTGTGGGGGAGAGCTTATAGAAGGGAGAGCTGTTTGGGGGAGGTAAAAGTCAGAAGCAAAACACTTGAGAATAGACAGAGTAAAAGGAGAGAGTAGGATAATTGGGGAAAATAGGATGGAGGGAAATACAGTTGGTAATCTTTACTGTAAAAAAAATTTTTTAGGGGGCAGCTAGGTGGCACAGTGGATAGAGCATCAGCCCTGGAGTCAGAAGAACCCAAGTTGAAGTCCAGCCTCAGACACAGAACACTCACTAGCTCTGTGACCCTGGGCAAGTCACTTAACCCTAATTGCCTCACCAAAAAAAAAAAAATTATTTTTACAGTGAGTTTCTCTGATAAAGACCTCATTTTTCAAACATAGAAAACGGAGTCAAATTTTTCGAAATAAGAGCCATTCCTCAATTGATAAATGGTCAAAGGATATGAACAAGCAGTTTTCAGATGAAGTAATCAAAGCTGTCTGTAGTCATATGAAAAAAATGCTCTAAATCACTATTGATGAGAGAAATGCAAATTAAAACTCCAAGCTACTGCCTCACATCTGTCAGATTGCTTAATACAACACAAAAGGAAAATGACAAATGTTGGAGAGGTAGGAAAATTAAAGCTCTCTTGGTGACCATTCAGGAAAGTAATTTGGAACTATGCCCAGAGGGCTATAAAATCATGCATACCCTTTGACCAAGCAATACCACTACTGGGTCTGTATCCCAGACATTAAAAAACAAAAAGGAAAAGAACCTTTATGTACAAAAGTATAGCAACTCTTTTTGTGGTGGCAAAAGAATTGGAAATTGAAGGCATGTCCATCAATTGGGGAGTGGCTGAACAAGTTGTTGTATATGATTGTGATGGAATGCTTTTGTGCTTTAAGAAACAATGAGCAGGATGCTTTCAGAAAAACAGGAAAAGACTTACATGAACTAATCAAAGTGAAATGAGCAGAACCAGAACGTTGTACATAGTAACAGCGATATGGTATGATGATCTACTATGAATAACTTAGTTATTCTCAGCAACACAACGATCCAAGACAATTCTCTAGGACGTTTGATGAAAAGACTTATGCTGTCCATCTCCAGAGAAAGACCTGGTTAGAGCCTGCATGCAAATCAGAAATACTTTTTCTTTATTTTTCTTTGTGTGTGTGTGTCTTTGTGTCTGTTTTCTTTCACAGATTGATGACTTACATGGAAATGTATTTTGCATGACTAAACATGTATGATCTATGTCAAATTGTTTGCCTTCTCAATGAGGTGGGGAGGGGAGGGAGAGAATTTGGAATTCAATGTGGAAAAAAAAAAGTTAAAATTGTTTTTATGTGTAATTGGGGAAAAAATGAAATATTAAATAAGATTTAAAAAAAAATAAAGTGTTATGAATGACAAAGCAGCAGATAGATCCACATCCAAAATTGGTTTGTAAACAAAAGTAGTTAATGATAGACCCATAACAAGTGATTTTAGACCACATTCCTAAACTTTTGAGAGTGAAATAACAGACTATGTGATATTTCATTAACTATGGTTGTATAGCTGAAAAAAGTGTTTACTATAACCAATATGGTACACTTTCACTTTAGATAATTTAAAGTGATGTGTAATCCTTGCTGCTACTCCCTACATTGGCACAGATGAAGATCATAGAAGGACATAAAATTGGCTCTTTGCCTACGGTTCATCAATAGACACTCAATCCATTATTAATCTTTTTCGATTTCATTTGACCATTAATTCTGCAAATGCTATTTCCAGAAATGAAATGCTTGTGGAAAACTACCTACTTTAGCCAATGTATAGAGCACACTTTTCAAGCAACAGGTTTTTCATAACCACCAGCTTAACTTCTTTGTGGGTTCCAGTTGAGACTCTTCTACTTAACTGTGTGACCTCAGGCAAACTGCTTCACCTTTCTGAGCCTTAGCTTCACTTCAAGTGTAAAATGAGGATATCTTTAAAGTTACTCTCTGACTAAAATCCTGTGATGTCTGAATTTTTTTTTAGCAGGCACTGTGTGGTTATATTAGCAGACCTTATGTCATTTAAACACTTCTACCCATTATCTCATTTAATCCTCAAAAAACTCTATAAGGAAAATATGAATTTCAGTATTTACATTTTACCCATGAGAAACTGAGGCCCAGAAAAGCTAAGTGACTTGCCCATGGACACACAACTTTTAAGTGGCAGAACCTGCATTCAAATACAAGTCCACATTAAGAATGAGAAAGGACCTAGTCTAATGCCTACATTTCATAGATGATATAATCAATACTGAGATTTAATTAAGAACTTTATCTGAGGTCAAACAGCTAGTTGGTAACCAGGGTTCAACCAGAACCTTAATTACAGGTCTATTTCTTTTCCAGTCTATACTATTTCCTGACAAATTGTCATTGGTTTCCATAAAGGTCACCAGCATCAAGAATCTTATCTCCCAGAAAAGGGCCAAAAAAAAAAGTTGTTAAAGTTCACAAAGCCAGTTACCCACAGTAACTCTGTAAGCTAAATAATGCAAATGTTCCATCTCCTTTTTACAGATGAGGAAACACTAGAGGTCAGAGAGGTGAAGGACTTCCATCTATCATTGGACACAGCTAATGAGTCAGTCAAACCCCAAGTCAAGTACTCTAATGAGAATAGGGATATGGAAGAATAAGAGAAACAAAAGGGAAAGAGGTAGTTGTTTACAGCTTACACTGGCTAAGATCTTGAGACCAGCTACTCAATGACTGGCTTGGACACTTAGAGATGACTGGTATCGTGGAGTACCTTTATGATGGTTAGGCAGGGACAAAAGTAAAAAGATTGTCCAGTTGGTTGATGTGGAAGAAAGTTATAGCAGAAGATAGATATTTTGAAGAATTATTGTAGACATAAATGACAACTACTGATTTATTTTCTTGAGACCAGGCCCTGGAGCTGGATAATGAACGTAGTTTACCATACACAGGGAAAATAACTAAATAACCACAGGGATAAGCAAAAAAGAGTGATTAATGTGTATTTGGGGGGGGGAATTGATGGAACAGGCTAATAGTAGAGGGGGGAAAGAAGGAATTTTATCCAGTGTCATCTGTAAAGGACAGACAGTTGTCTCAGGGCTCCTGCTATGTCAGCACCTGTCCTAGCCTATGTTTGGTAGCAGCTGCAATATTAAAAATGTTAAGAACAACAAAAACCTCAGCTGTTCTAGATCATGTTCGAAATATATAATACCCTTTTTTATCTGCTTTTTTGGAATATAAAAATGTGTAGAAGTTTATAACAAAGGCGACATTTAAAAATTTAAAACTGTGATACGAAAGAAGTCAAGAAAGCTTGTCTTTAATGCCAGATATCTTGGCCCTATGGTACACAAAGGCTATGAAGGCAGGAAAGGAGATTTTCTAATTAAGATATACTTTTTGAAAGAAATTCCCTAAGGAGGTAAAAAAAGAATCTGATTTTACTTGTATGAATCAAAGTCATAAAACTGATTTAAAATAAACTAGGAAAGACTATCAGAAGGGTTATTTTAGGAAAAGTTGACAATTTTTACATCTGTTGAAATAATTTTACATCCATTTTTTAAAAAAAATCTATTTATTAAAGTAAAACATCCATTTTTCTTAGTGTTTCAAAATGTAGGGAAAAAAAACAAAAACATACAAAGTCAATTGCACAATTAATTTCCATAGTCAAGACTATCAATGCAAAATATAATCTCTGCAAAAGAGAGTTTGAAGACAGTATGGCTTTATTAGGATAAACTGATTAAGTAGTCTGAAACTATATCATTAATTTTGGTTTATTTTCCAAAAATCATTGAATTTTGGAATGTTTAATTTTTCAATAATTTATTTTCTGATGTTTGTAATAGCTAATTATAATTAACAAAAGTTTTGAGGAAATCTCAAATAACGAATTATGTGTTTCAGGGCTAGGAACTACAAACTTGCCTAATTCAAAGAACAGTCTGGTGACTGATTTAAAATGCTAACTTTACATTCACTTCTTTGAACACATAAATAGATACCCATTTTGAAAGTACAGTTAATAGGTAAAGTGGAGATGGAGAAAAGGAACTATAAAGGGAAAGTATACTCCTTTACAGCAAAGCTACAAAAAAAAGACCCAGTGTTTAGTAGCTTACTTTGTACCATGACTGGAAAAAGTTACCTTTTTCACTAGACAACTCTTTTCCTTATATTTATAGCTATCTATCTAGTATTTAACTATCCCCCTGAAAAGAGATTTTAACCACTAAATGGTTCAACTAGATAATCAGAGAATTACACACTATGCTTCAGACTGCCTGGAATTAAATTAGTTTTTTTCCAAAAATGATTAGCAGCCTTTTAAAACACAAAAAACCCCAGCAGAACTTTGCTTTGCCCTAAATTAATGTATGAAGACTCACTAGAAAACTGCAGGAAGCCACACTGATACCTATTAATGAGACTTGAAAGTACATCATCTGAACACATCAGTCCCCTGATACATCCAGAACTGACCATGTCTAGATATAAGACAGTAAGCCAGCAAAAACAGAGTACATTTGTAAAACAAAAAAGAGCAGGCTATCTTAGGTATAGGACATTTGACCTTTGTATAGAGTGATTCTGCTCCATACATAAATGTACTTCAACTTAACTGTGACTGATTGAATAACTCTTCCTACATAGTGCCCTTTCATTAACTAAACTACTCCTATCCTCAAGACTCGTGTTGATGTGCAGAGCTTTTCTTCTCTCACTGTACTGTCAATCATTTGTGAGCAGGGCCTGCCCTGCTCTCCTGGAAAACTTCTGCAGAAATTTAGCAGACTTGTTAAATGCTTTAGAGGCATCTCATAAAAATCTGCTTTTCCAAATAGCATACAAATAAATATTAGACCTTGAATGTAAAAACTTCCCATTGCACATTACAATGTAAACGGCATAGCATGCTACCTATTCCTCCTTATAGAAAAAGCAGTAGCCACAAAGTTTTGGTCAGAATGGTTGTTTCACATTTTCAGTTTAGTACTTATTAATACCAAAGATCCGAACACCATGCAGTTGTGGCATTTTGGGAATTAGCACACTCAGGAGAGAAGCTGTGTTTAAGATGAAGTGTGTAGGATCATACTTGGTGTAGAAACTTGCCAGAAAATACCTGTGGAAACAAAAACAGGTAAGGGTTTTAAAAAAAAAGTTGTTTACAAAGTTTTCAAATATATTCAGTGGTTACAAAAACAACATTTTATGTTTACCTAAGTTACGCTAATGAATGTTTACAGTGTCTTAAAAGAAAACAGAAACATTGCCTTTTGGATGTTCTCTCATCTGAGGTCTAGTGTTGTAGTCAAACAAGTTCATAACCAGTTAAACATGAAAAATGGAAAACACTTGTAAATTCAGCTGTTTTGTTTAAATCTAAACATTTGGATTCAAATAACAAAGCTTAATTTTTCTGAAATTAAAAAAAAATTCTGCTAACACCACCTACTACTAGATACATGTGTTAGAAAGAAGCCTAACTGGCTGTAAAAAGTGTTCTGACACAAAAAATGCAGAATATAAAATGTTCTGTCCCCCTGTGATTATAACTGGAAAGGTAGTTTCTTGTGTGGACAGATAATTTCTAATCTGTTCGGGGGGGGAAACACAAAATGTATTGTTAGCATCCTTCTCTTTAACCACTGCCCTCATTCTTAAATTCTGCTTTATGAGGTAGTCTTGAAAGTAAGCAAGCATCCAGGTACACCACTATAGCTAAGCAATTACTCAGTTTGCCATCCACAACATTTTTAGAAATATCTGGATGAAACTGAGTAGACAATTGATGTAAGCAATTATTTACATACATGATACAATGCAACAAGAATAGTAGAACACATCACAAAAGAAACTGAGGTGAAGTTATTTAAGAATATTATAGAAAAGTGCCAAAAATCTGTACCATGACTGATAAAGCATCTAAGAAAAGCATTTCTAAGAAAAGCAGCACATTGATTTATCTCCAGTGCACAGTTCAATTAGCAACTAGAAAGGTAGTATTATCTGTTGCTTTAAGATAGCTGCTGTCAACCACAGCAGAGTTTGTTTTCAATACTGTCTACACAATAAATAATTGTGTTTTCAATAATGAATAAAAGCAAATTTAAACTTGCATTTTGTTCTGGTATTGTTAAGAAAGTCTAGAATAGCTATAAAGTTGTTAGAAAATTTTCCTAAAATTTATCATTTGGCGCTATTTAAATCACTAGTACTTATCACTTGATGATTCAATATCTGAAATAAAATAAATCACTTAAAAATATTTCTGGATAAAATTTATTCGTATTATAAATCTCATAAAAAAATCAGACCAAGCTAGCAGCTATAGGTAGAGAACTTGAAATTAAAATTATTGAAATTGGTTAGTACTGGTTTACAAGCTGCTACTGCTAGATAATGAATGCACCTATCCTTTGAAGGTTACATATGCATATTTCTTGTTCTTATTCTGGTTTGGTAAAGAGACTAACACTGAGCTGCCTGACTCTGGGCAAGTCACTTAACTCCAACTGCCTCACCCCCCCCAAAAAAGGTGGGGGGCAGCTAGGTGGCACAGTGGATGTAGCACCAGCCCTGGAGTCAGGAGTACCTGAGTTCAAATCCAGCCTCAGACACTTAACAGTTACTAGCTGTGTGACCCTGGCCAAGTCACTTAACCCCAACTGCCTCATCAGAAAAAAAAAAAAAAGACTAATGTTAATTTCTTGCAAGACCTTGCTTTAATAAGATTGATAGTCTTAAAGAATTTTCATTACTTTCAACTGCACTGCAGTCAAGATCAATTAACTTTAACACCATAAGAGCTTTTGAAAATTTAAAGACTGGCATTGGAAAACATTAATCTCTAGTTAAATATCTGATTAAGTCAGGTAAATTTAAAGACTTTCTATTTAATAAAAGAATTTTAATGCTCTTCCCTCAGAATAGTTACTGGAAAATATCATTCAACACATGAACTTACATATTTTATCAGAGAGGAACAAGGAAAGCATTTTGATTTATTAGAGCCATCTAGTTGGCCTTATGAAGAACTTCACCATGGATATAGGCAATTAAAAAAATTACATCATTTAAATGAAAATTTTTAACATGAAACTGATTTAAACAATTTTGGGGATTTTGTAAATAATAATATAGAATCAAACAGTGTTCTAATTCCTGTTACTACAAAACGCTAAAAAGATACACATAGCACTGTTGAAATCAGGAGTGCTAAAGCTGAAAGGTTTCAGGTTAATGAATAAAATTTATATGAGAGTGAGAAATAGTTTAATAGTAGACCACATATCAGATTTAATGACAATAAATTCATTAGCAAAATAATGGACTGGAATGCAAATCTTTAAGTCAAATCATGGTTGAACTACAACCTTAGACTGGCTATGGATAAAAGAGTTTTGCAAGAATCAATGAAAGTATTCAGGAATCAATTGACTATATGGGATTTATAATAGAGTATTATATATTTTATTATTTTAAAGTTGGATACTACCCATCCTTTATATCAGTACAATTTGTAATACCTTACATAAGTATGTCTATAGCATTTGTAATACCTTATATACACACTTTTCTAGAGAGCTGGTTATTAAACCTTTACAGTATACCACTGCTCATTCTGCAATGAGAAAGCTCAGATGACAGTTAGCATTTCTCACTTAATACTTTCCTACACCAGAAGACCATTATTTTTGCTTCCTCCTCTTGCCCTTCTTTCATGCTATACAAAACAGGATATTATATATATTTATCCTATCCATACTTCTGTGTATGTAATATTATACATCAGTAGTTATTAATCTTTTTGCAGCTCTAAAATTCTATTATTATGTCATTTCATGTTGTACTTTTGAAAGGTGTTAGCCAGTTATTGCTTAAAACTTAAAATAATTAAAATTAAAATAAGAATTTCATGATACCTCTTTACAAAATTTTAAAAATCCTGGGGCAATATTAAAAAAATGTGACAAATCCTACTGCCTCACATGGAAAGCAGTATAGTATGTTAAAAAAGGTAATGGACTGGGAATCAAGAACGTTAGGCTCTGCCACCAATCAACTGTAATACTCTAGGCAAGTCTCAATTTCCCTGACCCTCGAATGTCTTCATCTAGAAAACATGGAAGAAACACTCTGCAGAATGTAAAAACAATAATAATAATATTTGAAGATGGCTTCAGAAAAGATTTTAAAAAATACTTGCAGCACAAAATACATTTTTAAAAATATTGGGGTTTTGTATATTATTAGAACACAGGTACACAATACTTGCTTTATTGTTGTGTGCATCCACACAACATTAAGGTCATTATTTCCTTAAGGGAAAAAATCAGAGAAGACTAAAAGGCACAGTTTTCTTTTTGTACAAAGCATTACAAAATATATTAGGTAGAAAAGGAGCTACATAATATAAACATGTTCCCACAAACTGTGATGCTTTCCTGTCTAGTCTTCAAATCCTAACCATTTCTTGGGTCCAAGTTCAAGTCCTGTCACCTAAATGAAGCCTTGCCCTCAATTAATGTAGCTCACAATTACCTTTCTTTTTCTAATTTAACACTTAAAGACCACACACACACCATACCATTTGATAATATTATCATTCTGAGAGCCTAGTAAGCATTAGGCATTTTGCCCATATGATACAACAAAAATGCAAAGAAGATGTAAAAGGGATTTAACGGATTTAGAATCAAGTTGAGGGAAAAAGATACAATATAAAACCCACAATGTATCAAAGGCTCAAGAAGAGGAAAACCAAATTGATGAGATCAAAAATCTCCAGTACTGAAGAAGCCAGCACTCAAGGTTGAATGATATAGTCAGGTTGTAACCACTGAATGCTAAGTTCATAGAATCATAGCTTTAGCACTGTCAGGGACCTTAGAGGCCAGAGTCCAACCCCCTCATTTTATAGATAAAGAAACTGAGGCACAGAGAGGTAAAGCAACTTGCCCAGTCACTGAGCTATTAAGTATATGAAGCAGGAGACCAAAGTTCAATCTACTATACCACCTATGTGGTTAGCAAAGGCAAGGCTTAAAGGAAGCACTGGTTTTACATATGTGGAAAGGAACTAATTTGCTCCTTCCTTTGAGTTCCCTTAAAGCTTTCTTCGTACCATTCATACACTTGTATAGGCATATCTCCAAGACATTTTGGGTTCAGTTCCATCCAGACAACTGCAATAAATTGAATATCACAATAAAGTGAGCCACGTGAATATTTTGGTTTCCCAGTGCATATAAAAGTTGTTTACATTATACTGTAGTCTAGTTAAGTGTGCAGTAGTAGTATGTCTAAAAAATAATGTATATATTTTAATTGTGGCTGTGGCAATTTAATGAAGCTTGCCACATCATTGATTCTTTCTTTCACTTGAACACTTAAAGAGGCCATTGTAGGATTATTAACTGGCCTAATTTCAATATTGTGTCTCGGGGAATAGGGAGGCCTAAGGAAAGGGAGAAACAGGGATCAGCCTGTCTGAAACAGTCAAAATACACTCAACATTTATCAATTAAGTTTGCCATCTTAGATGAGTGCAGTTCATGGTGCCCCAAAACAATTACAACAGTAACATCAAAGATCAGTGATCACATAGTACCATAACTAATGTAATAATAATGAAAAAGTTTGATATATTTAGAGAATAACCAAAATGTGAAACAGAGACACAATGTGAGTGCATGTTGTTGGAAAAATGGCGCCAATAGACTTGGTTCAATGCAAGGTTGCCACAAATCTTCAATTTGTAAAAACATATTATCTTTGAAGTGCAGTAAAGTGAAACACAATAAAATGAGGTATACCTGCACACTTTTTTGTATTATGTGAGGGAATGCGAAAGTAGATTCTAGTAATGCCAGTCTTGGAATCAAGAGATCTGAATTGCAAACTCCCCTTCTAACCTTTACTAGCTATGTGATAATGGGCGAAGCATTTAACTTCTGAGCTAATTCCTCATCTGTAAAATGGATGTAATATACTCTATACCTCAAAGGGTTCTAATGGCTAGTGCTCTGTAACATGAAAAAACTAGAGTAATTATTATTTGTCCTATTTCCCTACCCCCTTTGGGGGCTCCCTGAGGGCAGACACTATGTCTTGTATATCTGATACCCCAAAGAGGCTAGCATTGTGCCCTGAATAAGGTGGTGCTCAAAAAAAAGATGCTGGTTGAATTTCACACAAAAATATAGAGAAAACATGGTAAAAGAATGCCAAGCACACCAATTTGGCTGGAGCAGAGATTTTGTGGAGAGGAGCAATAGCATGATAAAGTAAAAGAGGAGTCAATTGTGGAGGCACTTATATGTCAAGCTAAAGAGCACAGATTCTATCTCATAAAAAATGAATTTGTGCCTCAAGGTACTGCCAGTGTCTAATCAGGAGCTGATAGAGCAAACAAATGTTTTAGGAAGATTAATGGGAGGCAGGATGTGGGATATTCCCAGTGTCTTGTATTCATATATTTCGTGTGTATTTGTTCTGACTCCTCTCTTCTACAAGAGAATGTGTCTTACACTTTTCGCATATCCTTTCCAGTGCTTGGCTCTGCGTTCTCCTAGGAGGCTCTCTCAATGCTTGCTGCTATAGAACAGAATCATCACCCACCTGCTGAAATAAAGGTTCTCATAATATTCCCACATCTACAATAGTTCAAAAAACAATTTTAGAATAATTCTTCCCCCTTCAAGCTTTCCTAAACCCTGAGTTACTTCCACTCACAAAATTATTGGAGAAATTGTGAAGAACTTCCGTGAAGAAGTAAACTGCACTCCATAGTCCAGTTGCTCCCAGTGAGTTAGCAGCCTGGCTTTCCCCTGGTCAGGGGTTTCAAAAGGCGTTCCTTTTACAGCATGTAAAAATACATACATTCCCTAGAAAATAAAGGAGGTGGATCAACAGAAAGCAATTTAATATTTGTGCTTATTAGCATGAAAGAATGCAAAGGGTCTATATGCATGCCTGTGTATTAACAATTTGAATTTTAAACTTTGATTATTATTGGAATGTCAAGGTCAATCTGATGATAAACCATCAGTGATACAAAAATAGTACTAAGAAAAAAAACACATCTGTTTCTTCTTCTGTTGTTGAATCATTATCAATCAACAAAAATTTATCATGCACCTATTATGTGTCAGGAACTGTGGTGGGTGCTAAAGATATTAGACAAAAGTAAGGCCCATGGAACTTATAATCTACAACTAAAATATTAAAGCTTACAGTATAATATATAGAATTTCTAACTTCTTTCCACATTTGGTATACAGATAGTTAGAAATGCAAGGATGTATTTTTAGCTATTAACTTTCCACCAAAGTACCAGAATTGAAGAACTGATGGTACTTTTATGTTAAGCCAAGTTTTTCTTTTTTTAAAAAATATTTTACTTTTTCCCTAGTTGCATGTAAAGACAATTTTTACATTCGTTTTTAGCAAATTCTGAGTTCCAAATTTTCTTTTTCTCTCTCACCTCTTCCTTCCCTGAGACAGTAAGTAATTTATAGGTTACACACGTTCAGTCATGCAATACACATTACCTTATTAGTCATGTTGTGACAGACAAACCCAAATGAAAAAAAAATTGCAGAAAGTGAAAAATAGTATGCCTTGATCTGCATTCAGACTCCATTAGTTCTTCCTCGGGGGTGATAGCATTTTTCATCATGAGTTCTTTGGAATTGTCTTGAGCCAAATTTATTCTTTTTAAAAAAAAGGGGGGGCCTGTACAAATGTCCAATGTAAAAACAAAACCAAAAGGCTCAAATGCTTTTAACAGAGACTTCTTTTAGGCTAAGTTAGAATTCCCTCTTCTAAAAGAAAAATAAATAGCCTAAGGTAATGTCACAGTTTTCTCTTCACAATATTACACCATAACATGTTTTCCCTACCAAAATTTTTAGTAATCAAGGTTGTCTGGGGGGGAAAGTAATTATAAATTAGTTTTTGCAAAGAGTTGATTTACTATGTTTAAAATGATATCTGGATCTCATACTACATATCTAATACGTTGATCTAATTATAATTCACAATTATATAACATAATGCTTTATAAGTTAGGAAGTGCTTGCTTTACATACATCATTTTATTTGATCCTTGACTCCTAACTCTATGATGTAAAGTAGTTTAATCTTATGGCCTATTCCCATTTTAGAGATGAGATGACTGAGTAGTTTGGCACTGAATAAAACTTTCTGACTCCAAGTCTAACATATAGTTTGCTTACAAATATGTACAAATTCATTGGTAAAAGAACTTTAAATGACAGAGAAACTACCTCTTCTTTTACTAACCTTTGGAGAAAATTAAAAAAAAATTCAGTTTGAGATAAGTTAGTACATCTGTTTATATACATTTTTTTTTTAAGGCAATTGGGGTTAAGTGACTTGCCCAGGGTCACACAGCCAGTAAATGTCAAGTGTTTGGTCTGAGGCTGGATTTAAACTCAGGTCCTCCTGACTTCGGGGCCAGTGCTTTATCCACTGTGCCACCTAGCTGCCCTTATATACATTTTTTGAAACACATGCCAGCATAGCATGCTAAAAAACTTAACCTAAACACAGCCTTTACCTTCAAAAAGCATATTCCAGTCTTTGCTTATGCTGATTAAGCAATTCAAAGGGACTTGATGTCCAGCTGAGGCTAAATGAACAACTTCATGACTCATTTTAAACAGTGGTAAGTAGGTGTGGTCTTGAAGAAATTGGCAAAAAGGCAGGAACTGTCCTAGAATGAGTGACATGTATTTTTTCTGGAAGCCCTCTGTTCACTGCAATTAACTTTTCAAAACCCCTTTATATTGCAATCTAAATACACAGACACACAAAGACACAACTGTACCTGAAGATTACATTACATACACAAACATAACAGTGTTTCATTAATGTAAACTTATAAGAGTATTTATATTAACTATATTATTTATCCATGTCCCCTACTTGAAGACACTGACTCATAACTACTTAAAAACAAATGTGACATGTACGCTCTATGGCTCTAGTAACAGACCTTTGGTACCAAAGGGACAAAAGGCAGAACATGAGACATACTGTATTTGAGGCTTTTAATAAGTACTGATTAGATTTAATCTCTGAGTTAAGCTAATTCCATTTGTATTGATGATTCCAATAGTGAGCTTTAGCACTGAATAAAAAAATAATTACTCAAAATTTGCAGTGTGTGGTATGAAGATTCAAACTGAACTAAAAAAAAAAAAAAAAAGGCAAAGAACAGTGCCAGTTCCCCTATGTTTAAGAAATTGAGGGACTCTAGCTTAAACTAGGATGTTTAAACATTTTAAAATATTTTATTTGGTTAAATGTGTGTAATTGGTTTAAAAATCTTTATAAGTAAACTTTAATCTATAAATTGGCTCGCCTTGGGATCACTATGACAGAGGCAGATTTGAAGTATCTTGTTAATGAAGCCAAGATCATAGGTTAGATCCCCAGGCAAATCCAGTTAACTTTGACTTGTTACAGTGCCAAACTGTGTCCCATTCCTAGTTAACCCATTACAAATGAGGGCTGCTGGTTGCAAGAGAGGCTGGGTTACAGTGTATAAATGGATCAGCACAAATCCATTACCATTACTGGAAAAATAACATTTGCCAATGGGCTTTCATTTATTAAACATTATACAACACAGTTTAAAATATGTGCTAAATTTAATTTCTACAGAGAATTTATAAAACATTACATTTCTGAACTGTATTTTCTAGCATATTCTTAAACTTTACTATTCCAAATTCTCTCCATGAATAGCTTACAAAGTATAATTTATAAAATGAAAATCTTTTCAAGTTTCCTGATTACTTTAAACTTCACTTTTGTTTTTACCCCTAATAATATGCCCTTCATTTTGCAAAATATTTTATAAGGAGGCTAAGTTCTTACCAGATTATGTATAATATTTGTTAAGGTCCAAGCAACAGGAACACTGAAGAAGGGAATGCTGAGTAAGACAATATGAAGCAAACCAACTCCCAATGCATATGTCAGCCACATACCACGACTGTTCATTACCCTGGTATTTGGATTTACCTCACTGTGAGCAACTCCAACATTCATTTTTGCTCTGCAGGGAAGCAAAGAAAGCAAACAAAACTGTTATCATTGAAAAGATAGATTCTTCAAAAAAAAAAACCAAAAACCCTACTGAAACACCAGGAAAGAAATTAAGTAACTGCCTTTAATTTCTTTGTTGTTTTAAAGTAGGGAGGAATATAGCAGAAAATACCTAGCATATACTTATAATTTCTGTAAAGAACCTCTGTCAAATTAAAGTCCCCAAATTCAAATCCTTCGGAAAGCCTCCTCCCAAAGATTTTTTTATATGACAATTAGAATAGAAAATTTTCCTAATGTATCAAATGGAGAAAAATGTTTTTAAAATAACTATCTCAAAGTGTTGCTGAGAGGAAGTAAAGTGGGCAAATGTTGAAGTCTTGAAACACCAGTGCTGTTTAGAAAAGTTTCACTAAAAAAATCAGAAGACAGGGATGGAAAATTTTTATTCCTTAGTTTTGTGGTAAAGTCAAATTCATTTGAAAAACATAAGTTCTTGCATCCCACAAATATTTACTGCCTCTAAATATTTAGTAAGGTCAAAAAACGTGTCCTTCTTTCTCTCTCAGAGAGGGGGAGGGGGGAAACAAAGGAATAAATGACCTTTTCTCAAAATGCTTGTTTTTAAAAACAAGAAAAAAGCATCCCTTGAATGATACAATTAATAAAAATACCTCACTTATAACCTGAAAAGTCTTTTAGTAGTTCAAGAATGGAAAGGGATTTAAAAAAAAAGCAGAGTAGGGTCGATTTAAAAAGAAAACACCTTTGCTACAGTGCTGACATACACATTTCCCATTATCCCATTCAACTTACTGAATCACAGAATCTCAAAGTGAGAAGGGACCTCGGGACATATAGTCCAACCTGTATCTGACCAGGACACCTCTACAACATATTCAAGTGGTCATCCAGCCTTCACCTGAAGGACCTCCAGAAGGGGATTTCTCCCAATGGAAGACGTAAGTAACATGCATCTTGATACTATTGAGGCTAAAAGGCAGCTCCAATCGTACTAAGGAACGTTCCCTGCAACTCAATTATAGAAAATCTTGCCCTTCCTAAATACTATTCTGTAAAATCTGCAGGAGAAAAAAGTTGTAACAGCGAAGTCTGACTTTTCATTCCTACCACTACGAGAAAACCCACCCGAAAGGCCAGAATAAGGCATTTCCCTCATCAGTCAGGTCAGCCTGAAGGCTACGCAAGGAAAAAAATTAAAGGTCAAGGGTCGAAGCCCCCCCCCCCGCGGCAAGTTCGCCGCGGTCCACGCTGGACCGGGGAGCCTCGAGGAACCGGCCCCGCAGGACAGACCCCGCGGGAAGTTGGAGCTGGGGTGCGGGGGGGGGGCCGCGAGGTCCACGGCAGCCCGCTCCAGGGCGGATCCTTTCCTCTCCCGGCCTGCGATAGCCCTAATGTCCAAGGACCAGCGCGGGGACGCGGCTCGAGACCGTCACGGAGCGCGGCGGGGCTCTGGGGCCCGTCTAGAACTCCCTCACCCCAGGCTGGGTGTCTTCCGGTCCATCTCCTCCCACTCCCGCCTTTGAGAACATACCTCAAAACGGGCACCACGCGGGGGAAGAGGCAGTGAGCTGCACCCGCCGTTCCGGACCCACCGAAGCACTGCTGCTCCGGTCCGACGCCGGCTTTCTCCCTGGAGCCTGAGCCCTGCTCTTCCCTCAGGGAGAACGTCGCCTGCGCAAGCCTTAGGAGCGGAACGCCGCCGCGTCCCGACTGACAGGCAGGCCCGCCAATCAGATCCTGCCCGGGCGCGCCGGAGGCGGGGTTAGCTGCCCTCGGCTTCCCATCCGCCTCTGGGCTCCCGGGCTTCCACGCCAGCTCCGCCCCTCGGGGCTGAGGGAGGATCCCGGCGGCCGGGTCGGGGGCGGTCCTGGGGGAGGTGGAAGCTGAGATCTGGAGGAAGCAGAGATTTGCCGCCACTCGTTTGTAGCCCGTGGCCGAGAAGAAGAAGGTGTCATGTGACTAACGGGCATTTTTATTTTGTTGTCTGTGCTGGCCTCCTGTCTCCTATAGCTTCCTGTGAGTGATTAAGTGAGTAAGCGCATACGTGGGGGGCTCGGAGTTAGTTAGAGTGAGGCCTCACTCTGCACCCGTAGGCCTTGGGGGAGCCACTGAAGCCGAGGCGGGGGATTGGGGGGGGGGGGCGTGTGTGTGTGTGTGTGTGTGTGTGTGAGAGAGAATGCGTGCGTGCGTAGAATTTGAAAAAGCTGGATAAAGGCGGTATTGTCCGTAGATTTTGTTTTGTTTTGTTTTTTAACTGTGTTGAAGGAATTTTGCATTATGATGCTTTTCATTCTTCTATCCTTCTTGTCCTCGCGAATTCTGCTGGCTGAGAGGCTGCAGTGTATCCAACTCATCACATCCAACCTAGTTCACAATACAGCTCACGTTGTTTTTTGGGTGTGTGGTATTTTGGCCCAAGTGCGAAAGCTGTGTATGTGGATTTTTGTCTAGTGTTATCTCATGTCCTTACGTGTTTGGACTAAATGACTTCCAGGGACCCTTCCGTGGCTGAATCAGTGATCGTGTTGATTGTTGATACATATTGATAAGTACATGGAGAAAGGCATTACTTTTTGGGTAAACTAAACTTTTGAGTGCTTCCCTGTTTTAACTTTTTCAGTTTGAGGGTGAAACAAAAAACATCTTGAAGTACGTGAAAGACTTAACGTTCGTATTGCTGAGGTTTAGCCTGATCCTACCCCCTCCACCAACTTCCTTCTTAATTTTAAAGGTAGAAAACAGTACACATAGCAAAGGACAATTAATGAATTTTTAACAAATAATATTTTAAGGGCCTGCTTACTGTAAAGTACTTTTAGGTATTCTGGGGAAGATGAGGGTGAGTAAGAGAGTCTTAGACGAAAAAGGATGTATTACCTGTATGGAGGTATACCCTGAAAGGAAGTAATTTGGGATTCAGAGGAGGGAAAGATATAATCCAATAAAGGGATATAATAATAATACCAGACACTTTAAAATCATTATCACCATTGATCTTCAGCAGCCATGAGAGGTAGGTGCCATTATTACCCCTATTTTACACATGAGGAAGAATGTGATGACAGAGAGATATACCAGTAAGTCAATAGGTATGTATCATAAAAGCTTTCCAAGTGAAAAGAACAGCATAAATAAATGACATGGAGAAAGGAAGGTGGATATATAGGGAAGAGGGAATAAGTTATTTTATCTAGAGCACTATGTACAGGTAAAGTTGCAGTGGGTTTGGAAGTCTAATTTAAACTCCTTGAGGTCTCACTGCCTCACTTTTCTGTTTGTATCCCCAGTGCTCATAATGCTGGCATGTAGCAGTCATCTATTATAAGTGCTCATTGGTTAATTGATAAAGAGCCAGATTAAGAAATTTAGATTTTATTCTGTAGGTAGTGGAGAGCTACTGTAAATTTTTGAAAAATAGGATAATATGATCAGAACTAAGAAAGGAAAATTAATCTGAGATTGTATTATATATTGAAAGAGGGGTAGAAACTGAAGGTGGAAATACTACTTGAAGATAGTGACTATTTTGGTTGTTCTGGAGTGTTCTACAGGAATCCAAACTGTTCTTGTTTTTTTAAACATCGAGATTTATGGGGAAGAATTTTTTTTTTAACCATGGTTATTTTTATAGATTTCATTTAAATTTCAGTATTTTTCTCTGATTCATGCTCTCTTTGTCAACTCTTCCCCTCACTTATTGTGAATTGATGATGACTAGGAGATGATGCAGTTACAATAGAAAGAGTTTTGGATTTGGAGTCAAGGGACCTTTGAAAAATGCAAAGAGGGGAGGGAATAAGCATTTATATAGGGCCTATTTTGTGTCAGGCACTGTGCTAAGCACTTTACAAATATCTCATTTGATCTGCACAACACCCCTGTCAGGTAGGTGGGGTTATCCTCATTTTACAGATGAGGAAATTCATGCAAATAGAAGTTAAGTTACTTTCTCAGACCGAGTTTGTGAATTCTCCTTCTATGATTTCCCACTCACCTACCAAAATTCACTTCAAGGTTTCTCTTAAATCCTTCCTCTTAAATGCAAATGATTTGTCTCCTCACCCCTAAAGCGTGTATCCTCTGTATCGCTTTTTTGGTATATACCTCCTATTTCCCCAAATAGACTGTAAACTGGCTCCAAGGAGCCAGCTGGTGCCCAGCCAGGGCCTGGGTACTTTGGTGGGTCCAGAACAGGGGGTGCTGCTCACTGACTGCCTCTTCCCCCCGGGTGGTGCCCGTTTGAGGTGCATTCTCCCCGGCTGTGATGGGAGGAGATGGGCTGGGAAGATACCCAGCCTGGGGTGAGGGAGTTCTAGACAGTTCTAGACAGAAGTTTATATAATCTAGGAAGAAACAGTTAAAGAGGGTGATGTTTTTTAATAGAGTTTTAAAAGAATAAGACTTTAACAAGTGGAGATGAAGGCAAGGTTATTTCCAGGAGAGAAATATATTGAAGTGAAAGTGAATGCAATGGGAAAGAAGGCATGTTTGGGAAAGGATAAGTAACCTAGATAGCCCAGCTGAGGAAAATGAAAGCTTTAGAGGTAGTTAGATGGCACAGTGAGTCAGGAAGACCTGAGTTCAAATCCATTCTTAGATACTTACTAGTAATGTGACCCTGGACGAGAGACTTAACCCCAGTTTGCCTCAGTTTCCTCAATTATAAAATGGGAATAGTAATAGCGTCTGCCTTCCAGGATCAGATGAGGTAATATTTGTAAAATGATTAGCAACAGTGCCTGGCACATAATCGGCATTTGTTTTCTTCCTTTGGGTCATATAGCTAACTGGTAAGTTGCACAGCTGAAAGGAGTGTGGAGATAGGGGAAACAGTAGAGTAAAGGGTAGAAGATGTGTCACAGTGAAGCATCAGACTCTCAAAACTCTTAAGGTACCTTAGAGGTGCCTTGCATAGAGGAATAGGTCCTATGATTTCATTAATATGGGGAACTACTGAATGAGGAAACTTCTGCCAATGTTAGTTGAACCTTCTCTGCAATTTAGTCTTAGAGTTGCCCAAGATACTATGAAGTGAAGTGACTTGCCTAGGGTCACAAGGCTAGTATGTGTCAGAGGTGGGGCTTGAACTTTGGTTTTCCCAGTTCTCAGGCCTGCTTTCTATCCCAACACAACCACTTTTGTTTCTAATAGAGTAGGAACTTAATAAATGCTTACTAGTGAGTTGATTAATGAATGGCAGGATTGTGTAGTACAGGGATTGGCAAACTATGGGAGCTAATAATTTTTAAAATGCAAAAGCCATTTTTGGCTCCTGGCCCACAGACACAGTTGGATATAATCCTTGGGCTGTAGTTTACCAACCCCTGGTGAAGCGAATTGAGAACTGACCTCAGAGCCATGAGGACCTGGGTTCCCATCTAGCCTCTGGCACCCTTTGGCCATGGTACTATGAGCTAATCATTCATTTCTCAGTGTTCTCTAGGCAACTCTTTAAGGTTGTAAGTTGCAGAGAAGGTGCCAGTCTTCTTGGGAAGAGGGAGTTTCCATAACTAATAAAATTCCAGGTCCAGTTTGTATTCTGAAAGAATGTATCTCTATCATTTTATAGTATAGAAAATTGAGATCCAGAAAGAAGAACGGACTTCTTCACTACTCTTTTTTGGTTCGCCTCCTATTTGTCTGACCATTCCTTCTCAGTCTCTTTTGTAGGATCAAAATTGATACCATGCTCCTTTTCTGTAGTTGTATCTTGTTTTGTCCTAGGCTCTCTTCTCTCTCCCCACTCTCATAGATTGTATCCATTTCCATGAATTATCTCTATGCAAATGTCTGCCAAATCTATATATCAAGTTTCTTGCTCAAGCGCCAATTGCACATCATCAGTTGCTTGTAGGACATTTTAAACTGAATCTGCCATAGTTGACTCAAACTCAATATGTCCAAAACAGAACTTATTATCTTTCCAATAAAATCCATCCCTTTTTCTATTGAGGTTGCTACTATCCCACTAGTCACCCAGTTTCACAGCCTGTCAGTCTTCAAATCCTCATGTTCCCTCAGAAGTTAAGGTGATTTTACCTCTACATTATCTCTTACATCTGTAACCCTTCATCAACTCTCACCTAGACTATTTCAGGCTTCCTGATTGATTTCCGTGCATCGTCTCCTCCCAAACTAATTTTCATGTACCTGCCAAAATGATTTTCCTTAAGCACAGGTATAACCATGTCACTCTTCTATTAAATGAACTCCAGTTTCTTCCTATTACCTCTAGGATCAGAGTGTTCAAGGAGGACTAGCACCTCTGGTGTAAGGGCTTGCTGAGCCCTTTTCAGGGCTGCTCATCCACCTTTGGCGTCCACCTGATACTCAACTCTCACCTGTAGCTCCAAGAAGCTGTAGCATGCACAGTGGCCACATCCCAGTAAACTGTCTCAGCAGATGGTTGAGAATAACAGATCAGCCACAAATCCGTTGGTGAGTTAGGGGGCTGTACATCCTAAGCATGTGAAGATTTCTTCTGGTGGAATGAGCAGATGAGAACAATTTGTTCCAGTGGCCATGAAGGCAGCTAAAGCAGGCCCTGTGAAGCTCTTAGAGCTTGGTCAGACATTGAAGACACCAAGGTCATCCACTGCATCTTTGGCCATCACCAGCTGTCCTGACTTTTGTCTTGCCACTATACTTAAGTGACTCTGGAAGAGAG